CAATGAAAAACAGCCTTTGAAATAACCCAGTGTTTTGAAATATTGCCAAAAAAAATCCTCATTTGTTTCGTGGGTATTTAATCTCTTGGATATATTTTAAATAATTTTAAAATGTTTTATAAATATATTATTAAAAATAAAATACACATTTTAAAATTTTAACTATTTATTGCTTTTCATTCTCATTGGCCCCCCAGTGGCACAGCGGTATGTCTGCGGACTTACATCGCTAGAAACCGGGTTTCGATACCCGTGGTGGGCAGAGCACAGATAGCCCTTGTGTAGCTTTGTGCATAATTAAAAACAAAAACAAAAAACATTCTCATTGAGTAGATTATTCAGTCTCTGCGGTTCAGTAAAATAATTGATATACGTTATGATTCAAATGCAACGCCCAGTTAAGCTTTTGATTTCATTAATTTGAGTTTTAGTTTGTATCACGAGTTTATATTTAAATTAAAGGTTAAGGTTAGATTTGTTTGTAATCAAGCACAAAGCTACACAATGGGCTATCTGTGCTCTGCCCACCACGGGTATCGAAACCCGGATTCTAGCGTTATAAGACGGCAGACATACCGCTGTGCCATGATTCAACTATTCTATTGTTTGTGTTGTTGAACAGGTTATTTTAGATTATTCGGTTAAAAAAAAAGCAGCGCAAAGTTTAGTTCCCTTGAAATAAAACTTTGCTTTATTTAACGTTTTCAGTTTTAAATTTCACGGTTTTCGTAATCAACATTCACTGATATGTCTAATTTAGCAAATGAAGTACTTCTAACAGAAACTCCGATTACTTGCTAATATTTTTTTTTCTTTTATCTTTATTTCGTCCTCGAAACAAATTCAATATTTACAGCACTGACTAACGAACTTACTAACGCAAACTCCATAATCTGCTGTAACAAACTACCTCAATAATCAATCATCCAGTGCTCTAGCCTAACTCGCGTTTGATTCTTCTCAGATTGTCCTAAAACTTTGGAGAAAAATCAAGACTTTAGGCCAAACGCTCAGCATGTGACGCTAAAACTTCCTTCCAGTTAAAGAATAATGCAAGTATCAAGAAAAGTCTAGATGAAAAACACAGCTTACAACATTGCATCCTACTTGAATTATTATCTTTTTGTAATTCACTTTTCTAGTTCTTTGATGCTGTTTTGTATTTCCTTTTTTTACGTTAGTGATACCCTTTTGCACTTTTTTTTACTTTGTTCTTTTATACATTACCTATGTCTACATTGAAAACATTCAAATATATTTGATTAAAACTGTAAATGGGGAATATACCTCAGCTTAATGGATAACACACTAGACTTCCACCAAGAAGACCCAGGATCGGATTCCGACCACGATTGTTTTTTTTTTATTATTTTTTTAATTTTGCGCAAAGCTACACGAGGGCTATCTGCGCTAGCCGTCCCTAGTTTAGCAGTGTAAGACTAGAGGGAAGGCAGCTAGTCATCACCATCCACCGCTAACTCTTCGGCTACTCTTTTACCAACGAATAGTGGGATTGACTGTATCATTATAACGCCCCCACGGCTGAAAGGGATCCGACCACGAATAACTCAGAAATACTTTCTCAGTACTGAAGACGGTAGCAGACTAGTAGTCGAAACTTGGGATAAAACTAGTTAGTAATTAGTTATGTTAATAATTAATGATATAACTTAGGTGACCATTTTGCTACTAACCATTACAACAATTAATATTCGATCGCCGAAACCTAACCGTGTGTACTAGGAATGTAGACCTACGTAGAACAGCTATTTCAGTGAATGCAGTGTTGTTTAGGCTAACTACAAATATTTAAGTGTTAAAATAAATACTGAAAATACAGAACTGTTTTGAAAAAGGACCCCAGATAGGTCAGGGGTAAGTTTACGGACTTAAAGCATTAAATTCCGGCGATCCATTTCCCACGGTGAACAGAGCGCAGATATCCCAATGTGTGTGGCTTTGAGCTAAAACAAACAAGTTTAGAAAGGAAGACATGTTACAATAATACGTTTTTTCTTCAACATGAAAGAACCTAGACACAGCACGCCAGGAATGATATCCCAACTCGCCACTGACCCACTTAGGGTCTGCATGGGTCGGAGATGTTGTACTACATGGTGCTATTCAAATATTAAGCAGCACATATATCCTATTCAAAGGAGTTTTTCCTCCCCAGTCGTGACACATTTGTTAACAATAAACATTAAGATCCATTAAGGGCACCACTTGAAAAACCGAAAATGCATATTGTAATTGACAACTTTATTTAATCTTTGGAATGTGTATAAGCCACACAAATTATAATTTCACCTATATTATGTTTAAAACAAACTTAATAAAGTTGAAGTCTATAGGCTAAGAGGACACACATCTACAAGGGAATAAATCCACAGAGTTAGGTAACTTTAAGCCCGTAATTCCATAATATTCAAGGGCAAATATTAAAGTTAACACAAGGTAAATGTCATAATTCCTAGACGGGTGTAATGCGTTAATCCATAATTACATAACTGATAAATCCACGGAATTCAAAAAGATATGGGATCGCCATCTCCACGTTTTCCATGGGAAAACATTTATAACTTGTGGAATATGTAAATAAGAGTTAATATAATTTTTTTACGACAGTTCACAACAGAACACGTGGAAACAATACGAAAGAATATTACATATAATGTTAAGCAAACTGTTTATACCACTCTGCTTGTAAATATATACGTAAGGTATTCCATCAGCTCTGTAAATTTAAAGATACCAAACTCACTGGGAGAGTGGAAATTTTCTGAAGATCAGGCGAAATCCGAACACGCGACTATATTAACTGGGCAGATGGTATTGCATCTCCAATGGCGACGCATGGCGTAATTCTCAGTTTTTACTTCATTAGCTGTTAAATACAGAGTTTCTTGGGACTTTTTTAGAGGGTGACTGGGCGAGTAATGATTACACGAACCTGATATCAGCTCCTAACTTTTTACAATGTTTTCGTGACGAAAGCACATCACTCAATTCTGACCTTGTTCACAGGAGACAACCTTGGGACGAGCTGTTTGTCACGTGGTTGTGTTACCCATCGCTTGGTGCATTATTTTATTTGAAACTAGTTTAGGATGAGTTTATGACCGCGTACTCTGTTAGTGTGAAAACTCGTATTGTACAAAACGAATAAACAAAAATATATATGAGGGCTATAAGCACCAACTTTATAACATGTATATAATGTACTAAGTGGAATATATAATTCATGAACATGCCTTTTTAAAATTGTTTTTTTATTATTTTAGAGACATTTACTCATAATCAAGTATACCAAGTTGTGATAAAAAACTAATGTTATACTCGTTGGTTTTAAAAAATTATTAGTGATTAAATTATACGTACTTTTTTATACAATATCCCCATAAGAATATCAAATTTCATAACTGTGTGTACAAACTGAGCATAAATGGTTCAAGTTACATATTAAGATAATTGTACTAAATCACTTAAGTGGTTAAATTACACTAGTCAATGGAACACGCTTCAAGCTATCTTCTAAACCAGCTGTTCCGAAACTTCAGTATCTCTAGGATCCCGTTTAATTGAAAAAAAATTGTGGACTTGAAAAGCTGTATTCCAAAATTAAGTGTTCTAATTCATATAAATTTAACTTTACGAAAAATATTTTTTATTCCATGAATCATATTTTTTAAATACTTTTATGAAAATTCGGACCTGACTTACGGACCCCAGTTTGAGAAACGATGTTTGTGTGTTTGTTTGTAATTAAGGACAAAGCTACACAATGGGCTATCTGTGCTCTGCCCACCACGGGTATCGAAACCCGGATTCTAGCATTGTAAGTCCGCAGACATTTCGCTGTGCCACTGGGGGGCAAACGATGTTCTAAACCATTATTTAAAAAAATTCCGCATGTTTCAGTTTATAACTGGCGAACCGTCAGACTGATTGATTGTTACCAAACGTAGCACATACTCTTAAGGTTGGCCCCCCAGTGGCAAAGCGGTATGTCTGCAGACTTACAATGCTAGAATCTGGGTTTCGATACCCATGGTTGGCAGAGCACCGATAGCCCATTGTGTGGCTTTGTGCTTAATTACAAACAAACAAACAAACTCTTAAGGCTTGCCTCCCAGCAGCAGTGGCACAGTGGTCTGTCTGCATACAATGCCAGAAACAGGTTTCGATACCCATGGTGGGCAGAGTATAGATAGCCCTTTGTGTAGCTTTGTGCTGCTTAACTACAAGTGGCATGGGGATGGTAGTCATCATACTGATACTGACCTGACCCTGGGACCCGATATCTTCCCATGCATTGTACAGGTACTTCAGTTGGTATATAGGCGACAAAAATAACTACAATATATATACATATATCCAGAAGCTATGAAATGATCTCTGATAAAAATAAATTTCAAAACCATTGATAGTAAGTAGGCCGAAATTTGTTATGGGCTATTTTTTTTTCTGGATAGTACTAATTCCATAAGAAAGGATCTTATAATTTTATTGTTTGATAAGAAGCTTTGAATTAAGATTATTTTTATATTTTATCATTAAAATCTTTCTAGCTTTCTACTTTAAAATTAACCTGTGTGTGTAAGATATTGGAAGCTCCAGACAGTTATTACACATGAAAGTAAAATGTGAACCAAATCATTACTTTTTTTTTTAAGGGATGACAATTAATTACAAGTTGGCATATAAGTTTTAAGTAATCTGATTTTGGAATTCATTTAGACATATTTATTTTTTGAAGTATCACTACCGTGTAACTTATCTGCCTTATGATTTTAAACATGTTAATAAATGTGGGGTACTCAAATGCTCTTAGGTAATATAACACCAAAACTACTTATAGCTTAATAGAGAATTGTGATGAATAATTGTTTATATTTTATTTATAGGTATATGAAGAATGCACTTTTTGTTTTTTCTTAAAACTGAAAATTGTTGTAGGTACATGTAATTTCAGTTAACTGTTTTTTTTTTACAACTAGTGGTACTTGTAACTGGAGCAACTGGATTTGTCAGTACTCACGTTATCAAGCTTCTTCAAGGAGAGGGCTACAAAGTTAGAGGAACTGTCAGAAATTTAAAGGATGAAGATAAAGTAAAACAAATCAGAGAACTAAGTCCTGATGCACAACACCCAATAGAACTTGTAGAAGCAGATTTGACAAAAGATGAAGGCTGGAATGAGTGAGTTTCCTATGCTTATTTTATACTTAACACTTGTTCAAAAACACTTTAATTTTTCCAGTTATAATATCTATTTTATAATAGTCCTTAGGAGTAAGTAGATTATATAGCACAAAGGGTTAATTGCACATTACTGGAATGACATGTATGTTAATTCGTTGGTGTGTTACAGTTGTGGCACTTCATCATTAAGTCTCACTTCTATGTAAAAAAATGATTTCAAATGAACTTAACATAACATAAGGTTTTGAGACAACATGGAACCTGTTGGTCAATCTCGGCTGTTCCATCCTCTAAACTAAACTAAAACTATTAAGAGAGATATATTATGAAAAAAAAAATCTTAAAGCTAGCCCTTATCATTCATATACTTATTAAGCTTTCTCTTAAGTTCAATTAAATTTACTGCCTTCACTACATCCGAAGGCAACCCATTCCAAATGCCAACTGCCCTGTTAGAAAAATAAAACTGTCTTAGTTGTAGATGACTTATACCCTACCAAAATTTATACTTCTGTCCCCTAGTCATACTATTCTCACTGTTAAGTATGAAAAAAGATGAGGCATCAACACTATCAATTTCCTTTACAATCATAAACACCTCAGTCAGCCCCCCCCCAACTCTTGGTTTTTCAAGAGAAA